TTATTAGTTGGATGTTTGCCATCTTTTTGAGTTTCAATTTCAGTTTTAATTTTTTAGTTTCTTGTTACTTTTATATTATTGGTTTAAGTTTAAAATTCATTTAATTTATAATTTTTGATTACATGAATCCACCTTTATAGAACCAGAAATTCTGATTGCTCCTGATGCGAAGTCCCATCTTATACCCTATATGGTTCCATTTTGTACCATATACGAGGTGTTTTTGAAATAAGTACATAATATTTTGCACATCGATATGATACAGTCTAACGAATATTCCCATAATATCAAATAATTTCTAATTCGAGAAATTATATCCCGAAAATTGAACAAAAAACGAGAAAAAAAATCAAGTACGCCCCTTTGAAACAATCTGCCTTCCGCACGAAAATTTGAACAGCGGTGAAGTTACAGATTTCACCTTCTTTTCTGCCTGTCTTTTGGATCGCATTTAGAACAATTTGGCCTTTCATTGGACAATTTATATATCACAATGTACTTCAATGACACATCTCTTTCTATTATATGATTCAACTAGAAATATGATATTCTTGCGATATAAGGTATATAGAAGAAATATCAAATTTGAACTCATCTTTGGACGTTTCGGGAACGAATCTGCTCCCGTTTTCAACATAAAAATTGATTTTTTGTATTGTAAATTCGTATTTGTCTTGACACATTTCAGTTCTCAGTGACAATTGGTGACGTTGGCAATCAAATGAGTTACAGAATGTTTTTATCAATTCATCTTGAATTTACCATTTTCATTTTCAGATTTCAGTAGTGAATACCATGTTCTATCTATATCAACTGAACACGAAGCAATGCTATTGTCTCCGTTCAGATGAATGCAAGCAGATTCCTTGATTTTTCTCTTCTGGTTGTTATCTTCTTTCCCAATGATTTTAATATCATTCCATATTATTATTCTTTGCCATATGTTGTCCATTTTTTATGTCGAAACCGAGAGCAGATTCATTTCCGAAACGTCCGAAGATAAGTAAAAATTTGATTTTTTTTATAAACCTTTATTTCTCTTCTCCAAACCTTTTTCAATACAAATTGTCACTGACAAGCTAGTGAATTTTTCTTTTAGGCTCTCTGATAGGAAAATTCTTTGAACGCAGTGACATTTTGGGGCAAATCATCTGATTTGTCCTAAATACACGTATTGATCATTCTAGAACACGTGATTTTGACATGGTTTCTTGAGGGGCACACAAACTATCTGTTAGGTTACCTTTGATGAGCATTGCCCAGGCCGTCCCTCTGCCACATCCACAATATAATAACAGTTTCACTAAACAAAATTATAAAATTCTTTCTGATTCCAACTCGGATTCCAAGGAAAACGATCCCACTAATTCTGGTTTTCTATGACAGATCTTGACAAAATACAATGTTTGCCCCTCAGCAACCTGTCAAATGACGTAATTCTGGAATGATTAATATTGAAATAGTATTCATATTTTTATTTTATTTTATAGAGACGAGGAGAGAAAATCACAAAAAATCTGAAATAATGTGTGTAATGTCATTCAAAACCAATCGTTCCACATTTGACATCTCGTATTTGGATTGACTATTGATTAAATGGTCGTCATCTGGTATGATTGTTCACTAAATATGAAAAACTCGCCATAAAAATTATATTTCGTGTTGAATTTTTTATATAAAAATATGTCATTGAGGTACATCATGCATGATTTTATTAAGTGTCCAATGACGAAAAGATAAGAGCAAGTAGCTGTAAATGCATCCAACACAGGGGTCAAAATTTCGAACTTTTTCATGAAATATCTCGATAAATAGTGGTTTGTTCACATTTCTCTGCAAGTTGTACACCTACTCTTACAAATGGGCGTGTACACCTTAGTAGAACTTTTAACTCAAACCATGTTTATAATGATCCTTTTATACATAAATAATGATTGACGACATAATTCGATCGAAAAATAATTAACTGGAATGTTTTATTTTTGGACATGAATAATAGTACCTTCTGAAAACGGACCCTCTTATGACGTAGAAACCTCATCTCGCCATAGTTGAAAGAAAATACCAAACGTTCGACGGAGACTGAGGCAACTGATATATTAATTCTTTCAACTGTGATCTCGTGCTAATTCACTTTGTCAGAAATCATGTATCACTCATCTCTGTCTGGAATAGTCTTGTTTCAGTATTAGGGTTTTGACGTCACATCATCGCGTCCTTTTCACAGGTCCGAAAAATCAGGGATTTCAATAATTTTTTATAGAAAGTAGGGAGCTCACAGCGAAAAACCGTTTTGCGGTGGTGAGCTAGTTTGGGTGAGTTCTATCGAATTATGAAATACATTTTTTTTGTGATATAAGCCCATTGGGGATATTCCCGCCCAACTGGAAAATTGCAAGAGTACAACCAGTTCCTAAAGAAGGCAAAAAGACCCTACCTAGCAACTACAGACCGATCGCACTGCTATCTATTATTTCAAACATCATGGAGAAAGCTATCAACATCGAGCTCATGAAATACCTGGAACATTCAGGTATTATCAACGATAGGCAATATGGCTTCCGTCATCAGAGATCAACTGGTGACCTGCTCGCTTCCCAGACAACACAAGTGAATCCATTGGACAACCAATGGATGTCCAGCTATGGATACCCTGGACATCCATTGGATGGACGGCATTGTCCAGTATTTGTCCAATGGACATCCATTGGATAATACATGTCCAACAGTTTGGACATACATTGGAAGTCCATTGGCTTTCCATTAGACATCTGATGGATTTCCATTGGACATCCAATATTTGTCCTTTCCATTGGAAGTCTATTGGATACTCATCAGACATCCAATGGATTCCCAATGAAGATCCATTGTATGTCCATTACATTTGAAATACCATTGTATACACATCAGAACTCTAATGGATGTCTACCAAAAATCCAACTTATGTCCATTCCAATGATAAGTTTATTGGATACTCATCAGGAATACATTGGATTTCCATTGGATATCCAAATTTTGTCCAGCCAGAACGTAGAAATTAAAAAAATTTGTCCTTTGAGGGGATCGAACTCCGGACCCCGCTCTCGTAGATCACAACGCTAACCTCTGGACCACTGAGCTGTTATAAATATTATAGCAAGTATTTCGACTTCACGGTATTTCACATCGAGAGAAAATGCAATTTGCTGAAGTTTAGTGCCGCAATAAATACACGGCCCTTATCAAAAGTGTTACAGGGTGATTCATCTTTTTCGAAAGAAACCCGCCGTATAATATTTGCCCATATCGATCTTATTTGCACGGCCTAAATGGTTTAAAATTGAAATTGGATGAAAATCAACTTCAAAATAAGTACCTACCTCTATATAGGTACGTAACCTACAAAAATGATGAGACGTATAAAATCTTGAAAAATAGTACCGAGTGCGAAGTTGTCCGTGATAAATGTTCATATATAATATATTATATATTATTGGTAAAAATATTTCAATTGAAATAGAAGAGTCATAAATGACACATACATACTTTGCGAAACGATTTCCATTGGATAAGTATGATATGGATATCCATTGGCTGTAAAAATTTCGTTGTCCATTGTACAACTACAAAATGGATGTCCATTGTATGTACAAATCTCTATGTCCATTGTACATATACACAATGGATGTCCATTGGACATCCATGGACATCCGGCTACCTAATGGATTCAAAATGGACATCCAATGGATGTATGTGTGTTATCTGGGTTACGTCTCACATATATGGCAGCAATCTATTGAAAAATATAGTGAAACCTTAGCCGTGGCACTTGATATCTCTGGCACCACGGACTCCTCGCCATCAAGCTTCCATCTTATGGCTTGCCTCCCCAGTTATGTTCTCTGCTAGCTCTCAAACAGGTCTCTTTATATAGTGGTCGACGGAGTTTCATCTTATCATAAATGCTGGTGTTCCGCAAGGATTAATTCTAGCACCAACAATATTTCTACTTCATATCAACGATTTATTGGAAGCAACTTCATGATCAGTACACAGCTTCGCGGATGATAGTACCATCCATACCGCCTTCTCTTTCAAGGCATGGACTATTGGCAACAATTCTCGAATGGGGATCCAATAACTTGGTAGATTTCAATGCAAACGAAACACAAGCATGCCTTTTCTCTAAAAAAGCCGATCTCACTGTGCCCAACATAAGCATGTCAGGAGTAACCATACCTATGAAGACATCCATTTCGATGCTTGGTATTACTATCAGCCATAACCTTTCCTGAAAAAATCACGTGAGATCAATTGCTAAAAGTGCATCCCAAAAACTTGATTTTCTGTTTCGGGCCAGGAGCTATTTCACTTCCAGTCAGCTGCTTATGATCTATAACTCACTCACTTCTCTGGAACACCGTAGAAAATTTGGCGATCTGGCTCCATTTTATAGATATTTTCATGGACGATGCTCTTCTGAAATGACAACAACTGTTCTTCCCTTGGCAGTCTCCGCGAGATTAACCCGTCGAGTTGAGGCTTCGCACCCCTTTGTGGTCACTTTGGAGATCCGCAGAACATCTCTTTTTTGAAAGACTCGTTCATTCAACGAACAACGAGGCTCTGGAACACATTGCCAAGGGACGTGTTCCCCGAGGCATATAACCTCCAGAAATTTGAGAAGAACACCAATTCCCACCTTATTCTCCTTGGTTCTCACGATGTTCTCCGAATTTTACAGGATATCTCTTTTCGTGGGAACCAGATAACATAAAAAAAATTCATTATCAAATTCGTGTTTTTCAGACAAAAATACGTAAGTACCAACAAAAATTTTCGAAAAGAAACCATCGCATGATAAGTATATAAGTGCAGTTCTACTTTATAACTATTATCATTTTTCAAATTCGGTACTTCAACAGCGGTGGTCAGGATCTATCCGTCAATCTTCGGTTTTTTTGCTTCAGTGGCAACGTCGCATCGCCGTCCGCCTCCTGCGATAGGCTCCTGCGATCAATATGCGCCATGAGCGTGGTGCGCAGTGTGGCCGCTTTTCTCAGTGTTCGTTCTTCCATCCTGCTGTTAGGCGACCAGTCTTACAATCTGTTTTCTGTAATAAAAAGTCCGCGATAAGATAAGGCATAGGTACACATAGGTACTTTTACGAGCACACGTCATCTTTACTGATGTCCAAATGAGTTGAAAAAATAAAAAGTCGTTTCGTGGCGAGGGATTTCGGAAAAAAATCAGTGATGTGAGTGGATTGTGAACGGAAACCTGGAATAAAAAAGCGCTGCGGTTTTGACAAAAAATGACAACCTTGGAGCTGTACACGAAGGTAAACAGTCAATTTTATTGTTATCAAGCCTAATTTGTGACTACTTGCTTAGTTATTGGTTTTGGCACTTTTTTACCTTCTTTATCAACGTTCAAACATAATGTAAGTACCTCGGTAAGTACCCATATATCTGTGACCTGTGAGGTGATCCAAAATGCTCACAGATAAATTTTGAAAAGTACCTACCAGGATATTTCATTGACCTCTTTGCCATGCCTTTGAATTTTCATTCATAGAATATATCAGGAAATTTGAAATAACTAGGTCAAAATGTCGAAATTCCTTGATAAATTAGAATTTTGCAGTAGATCTTTCGACGAATTTTTGACAAGAATTCTGCAAGAGCAACTCCTTCGTATTCAAGAAGAGAAATACCTATATTGTGTATTTGAATGAAACTGTCATGTGAGCACTGTATAAACGCCACCATGTATATTTTTGTGATTATAAAAATTTCAAATGAAGGTTCGCTCATAGCTATAAAAAAAAGGTCCAAAATGCCGTGTAAAACTTTTTGAAGTATATTGCCCTGATGCACTTTATCACCCTGTAGGTGGCTTCTCAACTGGGTATATCAACTAAACAATATTTTATAATGATGCTACAAAATGACACATAAGACAGAATAGTTACATGGAACATTTAGTTAGTCTAAATATTCTTATTTTCAACAATACAAAATGCCAAAAATGCACTGAGAAATAATGAAATCGATTTTTTTATCGATATAATAGGAAACTTATTTGAAGAACATTTAAATAACAATAACCTCGACAATAACTAAAACATTCACGATGGTAAATATTGAAATTGAAAGTGCAATTTGTGTTTGCATGTTGCATGCTGTAATATAGCAGATGCCGCAACATCTTGAAGAACGCCGTTTCTTATTTGAATTTGATTGGTTAGTGTTTGGCCCATGGACGTATTTGTTTATACGTCCATGGTTTGGCCCATTACAGAAATGCCTTGATCAGTTTGTTGCTGAGAATTACGAGTGTAGTGAATCGGGGAAGGTAGATTGATCTGAAATGCTTATTTGATGACTGCCACTACTGTCAGTTTATAGCGACTGTTGCTTTGGGTATTTTCTTCGAAATCGTGCGGAATAGTTACAATAGTTACCCTCTTCGACTTGTTGCTGAGAACAACCACTGTTTTTCTTACTTGTCTTAGTTGTCTTCCTCTTGATGGATTACTGTGTGAGGGGTAGTCTCTATTAGTAGTAAATAATAGTATATTGTGCAACAAGTGGGGAAAGTTCAACTTTTCTCACGAGTGTGAAAGTTTGCCCCTGAAGGGCGTGATGCAAACACACGAGTGAGAAAAGTACTTTTCACCATCACATGTTGCACACTATACTTTTTCTACAACCTCAATTATACAAAGAATCCAAGTAATGTAACTTATTGGCATTCAATTTATAATGTGGTACTCTCGGTAGTACCACCGAACATAAACATTGAATATTGTGACCAGAGAGTAGACGCCTTTCCTAGTTCCTCAAAGTATTTCAAAAAGTACACTTCCCGAAAAAGATTTTACTTTTGCATTTTTTCTGTAATTTTTCATACATGCCAATTCATACTTTTTTCATGAAATTTCCGGAAACAAATCCAACTTCCGCAGCTTTTTCCATTACCTCTGTCTCTAGCGGTGTATTTATCAAAATCGTCACATCTCGGTATATACATCATATTATTTATTATGAATTGTTGGAATAATATTTGATGGAAACTGCGATTTCTATCAGAAGCACTAATGAGAACTACCCTAAAGAATTTAAAAAACTTCTTCTGACAGTTGTGCTATTCAAACTATTCAAAGCTGAACAGCAGCCAATTAAGTTTTGGTCGATATTTGTTGATTCTTCATGGTGTATGTGTAAGAAGCTGATTCTCATGAACCTCAGCTTTTTCGAAAGACTTGATGTTTCGTTCTCGAATGACTGACACGATTGAAAGGAGTTTCAGATCCCTGGCGATCTGGTTATTCCGAACATACCAAGGAGATCCTGTCACCATTTTCGCGATTTAGTTTTGTAATGTTTGTAATCTGGTGATATGAGATTCAGCTGTGTGGCCCCAGACTACTGAAGTATGAGCAATACATAGTTTTGAAACTAAGTAAGCTATGAGAAATGCGCTACTTTTCATAGCAGTAGTAGAAAAAGTTTCTTCCTGTCTTTCTTTCGTTGTTCCTGTCATATATTGGAATGACCTACCTACACTTACTCATCGAATATACATTTCTAAACACTCTCAAGATCTGAGTAGATCTAGTATCTAATAATGTGAAACGGATCTAGTAACCGAATCCTTTCGAAATCTAGACTTGTTTTAGGTTTTCGCCACTCGCCAGGCGAGAGGAGAGAATGGTCTGTCTACCTTTTAGAGTCGTTAACCTTTACCAACAGTCTATCCATTCCATGGGTTAAATAACATAACCGGTCACAAGGTGAAATACCGAGTGAACTGTGAAGATATCATGATCCTCGGAAGACTTATACGATCTAAATGTAAATGTATAGATACCTGTACAGGGTGTCCCAAATTGCTTGATTTGATTTGACAGCTTTTCCCGAGGGGTAAACCGCGGTCAAAATTGTGTACACCAAATTTCAACTTCACAAGGAATTCCAAGGAATTTCAAGGAATTTCAAGGAATTTCAAGGAATTTCAAGGAATTTCAAGGAATTTCAAGGAATTTCAAGGAATTTCAAGGAATTTCAAGGAATTTCAAAGAATTTCAAGGAATTTCAAGGAATTTCAAGGAATTCCAAGGAATTTCAAGGAATTTCAAGGAATTTCAAGGAATTTCAAGGAATTTCAAGGAATTTCAAGAAATTTCAAGAAATTTCAAGGAATTCCAAGGAATTCCAAAGAATTCCAGTTGTTTGTACACCAGAATTATACCGCACTCCACACAAGAAATTTCAATAAATTCCAAGGAATTCTAGGGAATTCCAAGGAAATCCAAGGAATTCGAAGGAAATCCAAGGAAATCCAAGGAATTCCGAGGAAATCCAAAGAATTCCACGGAAATCCAATCACTCAAAGAAATAATATGGGTTGAATTGACAAAAAAATCATCATAATTCTTGAATAAAACTAATATATTATTTCTATTTTTCCTCATCATGATTATTAATTGGGAAGACTACATCAGTGGTACTCCTCGACGAGAGATTTCAAAATTTTCTCAATCTTCTTGTATGGTTCTGGTACTTGTGATATACAACCTCCCTGGGGCTATATCCACTCCTTCTGTACAGGGTGGGCAAAATTGGGCGTTTTCACCGTCTATCTCAATAACTAGAGGAGTTATCGAAAAACCGATATACCGATATAAAATATTAAGGAATACTAGAAATAATGGGTAAAGTATCATATTCAGGCATTCTGCCACAAAATATTGTGATTGTTAATGTTTCCATCAATTATTCTTACAGAAGATACGGTGGTGTAACCATAAGAAATGTGACACACTGAATATATTTTTGCGAATATATCTGAAATTGTGGAAGGAAAAGGTAGGGTTATATATATTTGTAATGAAAACGCCTGGGACTATTCAACTGCGCCAAAATATACGGGGTGTTCCATTAGAAAAAACATAATTGGCTGCCGTATCTTTTCAACGTCACCCTGTATAAAATTTCTGATGATGCCAATGGATTCCACGCATCATACTGTATGAATATACGTTCGAAATTTTTTGATACCTCTCACCGTAAAGTATTCAGAAAATAAAATCGAAATCGGCAAATTTTCAATTTCCCCCTGTATCTCTAAAACGAATGAAGATATCGAAATTTTGATTGTGCCATTCGAGGTTTCTCCAAAATCGAACCCGGAACATGTATATCGGTTTTTCGATAACTCCTCTAGTTATTGAGATAGACGGTGAAAACGCCCAATTTTGCCCACCCTGTACTAAATGATCCAAAAATTGAAGAGAGCCCTGAGAAAAAGAGACGAACTTGAGCAATAATTTCATACAGTGTGTTGAATCATTACCAAATTTAGTACTAAATTACATCTCGATATTGAATACAGTGATTACATAATCGACTTACCAAAATCACTTCATTGCAGAACAAGTATAACATGAAACGATTATATCAAAATAATATAAAGCCACAACACAAAGAACAAAATAAGACGCCAGCAACAAAATCTCATGTGGACGCTGTCGCCCTGCAAATACCAATGGGAAGATCACAAGCTCATTGTCAACCCTTCAAAGAAGGTTGGTTGATTTTTCCATGATTTTAACCATGGACGTACGTCCATGATTTTAACCTACTGTTCGTTTGTCTACCAACTATGACAGTGAACGAGCTGTAATAATATATTAGTTTTATTCAAGAATTATGATGATTTTTTTGTCAATTCAACCCATATTATTTCTTTGAGTGATTGGATTTCCGTGGAATTCTTTGGATTTCCTCGGAATTCCTTGGATTTCCTTGGATTTCCTTCGAATTCCTTGGATTTCCTTGGAATTCCCTAGAATTCCTTGGAATTTATTGAAATTTCTTGTGTGGAGTGCGGTATAATTCTGGTGTACAAACAACTGGAATTCTTTGGAATTTCAAGGAATTTCAAGGAATTTCAAGGAATTTCAAGAAATTTCAAGGAATTTCAAGAAATTTCAAGAAATTTCAAGGAATTCCAAGGAATTCCAAAGAATTCCAGTTGTTTGTACACCAGAATTATACCGCACTCCACACAAGAAATTTCAATAAATTCCAAGGAATTCTAGGGAATTCCAAGGAAATCCAAGGAATTCGAAGGAAATCCAAGGAAATCCAAGGAATTCCGAGGAAATCCAAAGAATTCCACGGAAATCCAATCACTCAAAGAAATAATATGGGTTGAATTGACAAAAAAATCATCATAATTCTTGAATAAAACTAATATATTATTACAGCTCGTTCACTGTCATAGTTGGTAGACAAACGAACAGTAGGTTAAAATCATGGACGTACGTCCATG